TCCCCTTGTCGGGGTCTGTAGCTCTGTACTTCTCCTTTTTCTCCGCCCCTGCTTGTGAAGTGAACACATGACAGTAAGGCCACAGTATCACTGTCCCTTTGCACAATTTGTGGTGACCACTGCCCTAGAGGTACTACAAGTAAATGATAATCTTCACACTAAGATTGCAAAGGTGTGGTTGTCTGGCCCCTGTACAAAATTGCCTAGAGCCTCAGAGTGAAAACCGTGGTTCACAAGCCTGCTCCTCTGGCACAATGGAGCATTTTACTTTTAAGAATCAAGCTTGTCTGTGTGTTTTTAAAACAAAAAAAAAAACAGTGAACAATTTTTTTCTGAGAAGCTGGTCCAGCGCTGTGGAATTAATTCCCACAGGAACCAGAACTGTCAGAAATCTCACCATCTTCCTCTCCTGCTATAAAGTGCATTCATTTGACATTCTGTTCTCTTAACATAAATACATAGCAGTGTGTACATTTAAAAAAAAAAAAAGAAAGAAAGAATTGTTAAAATATTACCCTAATTATGCCATTCTCCCTGTAGGAGAGAAATGGGTGGGGGGGAGAGGGAACCACACATGGCTGATTATTAATCACATTAGTAGAAGACTGGAAGTGTTTCAATACAATTGTCATAAGGACAAGGTAGATTTAAAAAAAAAAACAAACAAACAAACAAACAAACAATTTTTTAAATTCAATGTAAATATTTCCTAAATAAAACTCATTTAAAATGTGAAGTTATGGCAAGTGAAATTTAGGGCCTTAATTTTAATTTATTTAAAAATATTAAATTAGAAAAATTAAAGCAGTGTAAGCTTTTATTACTGAAATTCTAAAAAAGATGAAGACACTAAACAGATGGAAGCTGCTGCTTTATCACCTAGAACCAGTCTGTGGAAGTGCTAGTCTAGCTTTTGACAGTAATAGCCTCTTTTGGCTACTATCGTCTCAATATTCCTTCATTTCAGTGCTTCATCTCTTTCTTTCAAAATTAATTTAAAAACTCATTCAAAATTAAGGAATTGATTTGGGAAAGGAAAAAGCAGGGAAGCTTTTCTGTAAGAAAATGAGGTCTACCAATTCTAAAATCTTGGAGGACATGAGAACCAGAAATAATTTACATTTACTACTCACAGATGATACTTTCTTTGTGTGATGAATTGGTTTTGATAGCCCTTTATTCTCATGCATTCAGCGTTCTTAACTAATAAAAAAAATAATAATGCTTTTTTTTCTGCATTTGAATTTTAATTCCAATTTCCATCCAAATGTAGCTGGACAAAACTCTCAAATAATAAAATAAATCCTATAGTAAATGAGAACTGTATTGCTCCTAATTTCTTACACTAAATATGTAAGAATTAATAGCTCAGTAAGTTTGTGTATGTAGTAAATGTAACTCGATCTAAGTATATGTCATAGCTATAGGCATAGATGGCTATGTCATATAGACATAATGTGGCTTTCTGCTAACAAAGGAAAGGTATTAGATTATAGCAACCTTTGCATATCAACCTGTCTCTAGAAAAATCACTAAAAATTACAAAAGTAAAACAATTAAAATCAGTTGTTTAAACCAAGTATGTCTGTCTGATAATAAAGCTCCTGATTAATATTCATGATTTTCATCAATATGAGGGCCTTATAAGTACCTTCAAGGTATAGTAGAAAGAGGGGACAGACCTAAAGAAAGCTCTGCAAGGGCTTGGCACACTGGCTTTATTTACATCAGTAATAGTACAAATGGGTGCAAATCCATTTGCTAATACTTTTGTACATAGTCTAAGCCAGTCTTGGCTTGGGCCCATAAATGTAATCATTTACAGCAGGGTAATAAAAATCTTAGTCCTTCTAAAATGAAGACTAAAGTCATTTTTTATGTAGTTAAATATAATTTAATTAGTTCTCAGAAGCTGAAGAAAACCCAAAGGTGTAGTGTGTTATGAACCAGAACATCTGTAAAACAGCTGTAAATGTTTCCTTTGCACTTTCTCTTAACAGAGGAACAGGATAATTATTTTCTTTTATGTGACGTTTTACCAGAAGACCGATTACTAAGAGAACAGCTCCAGCAAAAGAGACTGGTAAGGAGTTATTTACAGGACTGCTGAATACCTCAAAAACTGAAACAATATAATAGAAACTATGTAAATGTGCATGGCATTTAAATTAAGGGATTTTATGTTACTAAACTGTAGAGAAATAAATTTTGATTTAGCTTTTTTTTTCCCCAGTTGCCATTTCAGCGGACACAAAAACCCTCATTTATAGATGCTTCTGTGGAAGAGTTTTTACCTGCAGGCTGTTTGTCAGTTTTCCACACCAGTGGAAAATATGCCCAGTAAAAAAAAAGAAAAGCTGAATTTGCTAAATAATGCTTTTCTTGCAAGAATTTGCCTTGCATTAGCACATTTTTTTTTTTCCAGAGTGTAATAATACAACCAAGCATGTGGTTGAAAAAATGGAAACACAAGCATCTCTATCATTCTGAGGGCTTGTAAAGACCAAATGCTCCTGCCAAGCCCCAGATCGAGTAGCTGGTGCTGGCAGATGCAAGGGGAGCAATCCTTCTGCTAGCTGAATTGATACTCTACAGCCTGAATTAGCACTCTACACTCCACTGTCAGATGAAAGTTTAAGCAGAATTGGACATGAGTAAATACTTTGGGCCCAAATGTGTAGCCCTTGCTTTTGTCCATATCTCCCTTTCTTGTTCAGCAAAACTACTTAGTTTTAGCCTCTTAGGAAGAGAACTGAGGTTGCCCTAAGGGTTGAAACCTTCATTCCCGTACATATCATGGTGGCCCCAACAATTGGGTTGCTAAGAAATGACAAAAGGACAGTTGATTCTATTCTGTTTCTGTTATGATCCCCCCGCCAATTCATCACCAGTAGCAGGGCAGGGCTCAAGTCTTTCACTATGTTTTTGTACTGCTTAACACAAATACAGCCCAATTATAATTGGGACCTTTGTGCAT